TTCTCCTTCTTTTTCTTCTTGTTCTCCCTTTCTTCCTCCTCTAATTCCTCCTTCTCTAATTCCTTCTGCTCCTCCTCCTGCTCCTCCTACTCCTCCTGCTCCTGCTCCTCCTCCTCCTGCTCCTCCTCCTCCTCCTCCTCCTCCTCCCCTCCTTCTCCTTCTCCTTCTTCTTCTCCTTCTTCTTCTTCTTCTTCTTCTTCTTCTTCTTCTTCTTCTTCTTCTTCTTCTTCATTTCTCCTCCTCCTCCATCTACACCTACACCTACACCCCGTAAACCTACTTTATGTACAACTGAACACAATATACCCTTTGGCGCAGTCGGCACTCCGCAGTGAATATTTCAATGTCGAAGCAAATGATGGCGATCGCTACAAAAGGACTGAATTTAACTTAAACTGGGTTTTCTTCTTACACATTTGATCTTAATGAAAATACAATAGTGCAACACTATATTTCAAATTATGGGTACTGGCAAAGTTTCATATTTTTTAATTCGGCAGTTTTTGAGAATATACTGTTCGCAAAGTTTGGCCTTAGCTCCATTAGTAGTAAAATTCCGTACAAGATGTTTATCTCTACACATGTATTTACACGGTTTTGTGGGTTTTTTTATCGCTTATATTATATCTTTTTAGTTATATGCAGGCTGCCACAGACACAGCATGATTCATGAACAAACGCAGAGCAAGTTTCTCTTGTTTAATAGTAAAATAAGAGCTAACGCTGATCGTCTTTAGTTAAAAAATGCAGATGTGCATCTTTCTTCTCTTACAACTTGACTATTACTACTCGCGCAGATTTAAGATTTCTCATGGGAAAAGACATGATATTCGTAGTCAGTTTTACACAGATTTTGGAGAGATCTGTGGAGCCTTTTTTAAATTAACAATCATTTATTCATAATATTTTGTAACTAAAATAGGACAAATTGGCTACTCTACAAACATTTGTCTAAAACAAAAACTAAGGCACAGAAACTAACAATTCTGACGAAGAATAAATCTCAAGACATTGAGCTTTTTAGTAGATCCGCGTAATGGTTTGCTATGTGGGATGGTGAAGAAGTTATATCGTTTTAAACATAGTCAAAAATGCGAACTTCCTGACCGACACCGACAAAGTCGCTTCAGGGCTCATTAAAAGGGGGGGGGGGGTGGGGGGAAGGGGGCTACACCCCCAAAGTCAAAATTTGGCTCAAAATCATGGAATTTGAGTTGTAGGCATTTTTAGCTTCCTCAGCCTCTCCTAAACTATTTCATCGCAGAAGAACCCCCAAAAAACCGTATTTTTCCCCATACCGGGCATGTTTGTAACCGCCATTTCCTCATAAAGTCAGTATTTTCTTTTTCTTTATCGGCTGTATTCTCAAAACGCGACTTTTCTCTATACTTTTTTGAATAACTCCACCATTTTTCATCCAATCTTCATGAAATTTTCACAGAATGAAGAGAAGAGGTAATACTAAAAATTTATTTGTTGAAATTTTGATATATGGAATCGATTTTTGTTCATGGTGTCTGGAGTTTGGATTTTCATGGATTTGTCGCAAACTTGAATGCTACCTCAGGAAAAAAATTCATTAAAAATTTTCTAATTCGTTTAGGAAAAAAAAACAACTGACAAATTTTTACATCTAATGTTTGTAAACACGCATGCAAAAAAACCCAATCTATTTCCATGAGCGATAAGTGCGGTATTCATTACGTAAGACATGTCAATAAATTCCAATATGGCGGCGTCTCCATGGAAACGAAACTTTTTTCTCAAATTTGATTGCGGATTTAAGAATCCTTACTATGCTTGTTATATGTGTGAAATTTGGTAAAATTCGGTCCGGTAATAAGCGAGATAGCCTCCAGGTGTAAACCCCCCCCCCCCCTTAACCCCGTGACCCCGAGCCGGGGAGGTCCGGCGGGCTGCTGAGTCACGCGAACTAAAAGTAACAGAATCGGGAGAAAAATGACGCCGTGCACTGGACGTCGAGTTGTGAACTCAGTAGATATACAGACCAAAACATAATTTATTCACAAGCCTTTTGTGCGTATATGCGTGTTAATACTGTAACACCATAATACTAACCTAGACCTGTTTGCACTTTGGAGTCGTGCAGAAATGCGCTACAATGTCTATACAGGTGTCCCAAAAACTGCATTTATCTTTTCCTGATTGTTTTATCAGATCACGTGTGCTTCTTCAAGTACTTCCTCTTTTAATTCTTTTTCCTTCCAAGATATTTTTTTTTATCAGCAGTCTCCTAAGAAACCACATTTTTGTTGTCTTTAGTAATTATCCAGCATTTACAGCCATATACAAGGATTGACCAAACATAGTGTTTCAGAATTTTTATTTTGGTAGTCATTTTCATGACTGGGCTCATTAATTTTATTGAAACTAGCCATAGCCATTGCAGTTCGTTTTACTTCTATGAAGCATTTGACATTAGATGTTAACTGGCGAACTTGTCTGATCCTTTCGCCTTTGCTCATGAGATTACAAACAGAGTTTACTGCTTTTTTTGTTTAGACATAACCATGCATTGTTTTTCTTCACATTCAACAATAACCCTTTACTTTCACGTTCCGTTACATTAGTATCTAGAAGCGATTGGAAGTCATTTTCTGAGTCTGCTATTAAAACTGTGTCATCGCCGTATCTGATGTTACGAGGAGGAGTCAAAAAGTAACGCGAGTTGTTCACTATTTTGCACAATTTGCTTCAAATTTAGTGAAATTCTGCTTACAAGTTCTTGCTCTTGTACTTTTGAACTCACACTGTTAAAATTTAAGTTTCTTTAATTTTGGCCCCAATGACGTCACTTCAAAATGGCTAACCTCTTGGGGGTCTGTCAGATGTAAAGAGCAGTGATTGAATTTCCTGTTTTAGAAGGAAAATCCACATGTAACAACCATAAGAGACTTCAGAATGTTTACAAGGACCAAGTTCTAGATTTTGGAACTGTATAAATATGTTAGACGTTTGAGCAATGAACCGGAAGAAGAGGAAGAAGTGTCCATATTGTATTCTTGTTAGACAAGCGTTGTCCGGAGGAGTCAGCCGGAAAAATCATGGCAATTGTGTTTTGGGACGTTCACAGCGTGCTTCTCAAATAATTTTTTTTACCACGACGAACAACTGTCAATTCTGAACTCTACATCAAAACTCTGAAACGCCTGAAAGCGAGAAATCGACGACTCCGACCAAATTTGAACAAACACGGAAAGAGTGCTTTTCTCACCATGACAATGGCCACCTGCATTCGAGTACCAGAGCAAGGGAGACAATCACCCCGTTTATGTGGAAAGCACTGCCGCGTCGAACTTATTCTCCTGTTTTTGCTCCTTTAGACTTCCATTTTTTTGTCCTTGAAAAGAACCATTTAGTAGAGGTCAACACTATGGAAACGACGGAGAAATCAAGACTGCTGTACCCCAGAGACCATCAGGCTCAGTTTTACGAAGCTGGCATATGTATACTAAGTAAAAGGTGGTCAGTGGCTATTGGACGAAATAGAGATTATATTGAAAATACTAATCTGATCCTCAGATGCTCCCCTTCAATTTGAGGTATGATAGCTGCAAGTGTGTTTTGTTTTCCTTAAGTTATGAGCGAACTTGCATTATTTTTTGACTCACCCTCGTATTAATATTTTCGCCATTCACTTTGAGATCTGGACAAATCTCTATGTTTGCTGAGGATTTATATTTATATATTATTTATTGATACTCTTTAACATTTATAACTTCACACCTCATATTAAAGGCAATATATTGTACTTATTGAATCTGTTTTCAAAGTTACTAACACCTCTTCACAGTATTATTAGCCTAGACAAAACATTAAGGGCTGGTGGGGCACTGGAGGTCCATTTTGGCTATTACAAAGCATAGAGTGCCCATATTTGCTGTAGGACATCGTGTGCTATTTGGGATTTTAAATCAATAGTTCAAAAAGTATTTTGTGAATTGGTTGCTATGGAAACAGCGGCCATATAGGATTTTGTATACCTTTTTCAATCCCATTTTATTCCCTTATTTATTAACCGATTCACTCCTAATTTGGCATGCCAACAGTAAATATGTAGCTCCTGAATTTGGCTTGTTGAGTATTTGATGTATGCTTTAATTTTTGTTTTAAGACACTTATAATTGGGATGTTGCATAAAAAAAATTTTTAAATATCGAAAATTCATGCTTTCTAAGCCCATAAATAAAAAACTACCCAATTTATTAAAATTTTAAAATACTAAAATTTTGAACTAGGTGTTGTTGGTATCCTGTGAAGGTTGCATTGAAATTGAACAAGAAACAGAGCAGAAAAATGGGATAATGTGTGAAAAAATAGAATTGTGAGAAAACAGCCGATACAGGTAAGAAAAGGATGGACAACATGTGCTTTTGCAGAAAAATCTGACAAAAAACCCCACAGCTTAGGGTGTAGCAAGGCTTACATTCGTTTCTGGATATTGTTCAGGAAATGTCCGGGTACTATAATATGTAATAAACCCAATTAGCAAAATTTTACCCCAAGACACGACTTCTAGGTGCCCCACCAGCCGTTGAAACCACATGAATGACATCGTCAGACAAAACGATAGACCAGTGCACCCTAGTGAGTACAGTTCACGAACGACAATGAGCTTGACATGTGTGATTGTGTAAAAATTTCAAAGTTTTTGGATACGTAGTTTTTAGCTAAACGCTCTTAGGATGTGTGAAGTCAAAATGTTAATGGAGTATTATTAACACGCACAATATGTGTTGTTCAAAGTACTTGTGTGTGTGTTTGTATGTTTGTGTGTGTTTGCATGTGTGTGTGTGTGTGTGTGTGTGTGTGTGTGTGTGTGTATGTGTGTGTGTGTGTGTGTGTGTGTGTGTGTGTGTGAATGTGTGTGTGTGTGTGTGTGTGTGTGTGTGTGCGTGTGTGTTATAATAGATAATATATATCTACAAGTATAAACAATGGCTCACTCTCCTCTCGTTCTGCGTTCCTCATTCAATCAGAACCAGATTCACGTATTACGCACCAACTACCACTGGGATGCACCCGACCAGTATCTGATGTGTGTCGGCACGGGTACTTGGCCTGGTTCTGGGACAACCAGCGGTGTGGCGATAACTCTCATTGGCCAGTCCGGCTCCAATGGGCCTTTCCATCTGGAGAGCCCGTGCTTTTTCAACGTTAGTTGTTGATTTTTCAGAAATAAGGTTGAAATTGGCACGTGGGATGCGTTTTTTTTACTTTGTTTATGAGATTTGTCTTACATGTAGATTGTTTGTATTTTGCTTCATCTTCGTCGCTCAATCCTGAGTAACGTTTTTCGTGGGTTTTTTTTGTTTGTTTGCTTGTTTGTTTGATTTTGTTTTGCTTTGTTAATTTGATTTCACGCTCTTTGTTTATTTCAAAGTGGGAAGGGGGGAGGGGGGGTGGCTATTATTACTTATTTTCAGTTTCCCTTCACTTTTGGAACAAGAGGAAGATGGTATGATTTTTTTCTCTTGGAGACGTGGGGGGGGGGGGAGGAAAAAATTGCCTTGAAGTTACAGTGCTCTGCCTCTTTGAAAAGGAGTACGACAGTATAGATTGAGTTAAATAGCGGTTTTAGTCTTATCCTTGTCACGTTTACCTTCTAATAAGATCAGTTGTGAAAAAGAACGTAAACAATCGATTTGGTATTCGTAACTTCATAACATAAAGCACTCTTTTGCAATTTTCTTTTTGATTTCTCTCTTGCCATTTTTAGCAGACACTTGACTTTCTACTTTGAGTGAAGGGGCTTGAACGGTTAAGAACGGATGTTGTATCGCAGTCGCAGGTACTGACGTAGGCACTACTTGTTGGTAACGTGCCCTACAACTGCACGGGTAAAGCTAGATCGAAGTGGATTGTTTGTGGGCACTCTGGTGTGGTTGGCTCCTTCTTTCCTGTTAAAAATGTAATAATAGTTATCTATCTGGACTTTATCTCTTTTCCTCCTGTTTTTATTTGTTACTCTTTATTAAAACTTAAATGCTCTGGTGTGGTTTGCTTATGATCTTTCCTCCTTCTTTTTTATTTTTATTACTCTCTTGTAACACCTCTAATCTTCGGCACATAAGGCCTTATTGTGTTGCAAGTGCCGTAAAACACTTACTAAAACTAAAACATTCAAACTTATAGGACCTGTCTGTGTTGCAAACCCCGTACAACATTATTATGTATAGACGATAACGCTGGTTCGAATATTTAACAATGTTTTGAACTTGAGTTAGTTGGAGTGTTTTCAAGTCTCTTCTTGTGCTGAATGTGGTCTTATGAGAGGAAGAAATGCGTGGAATTAATACACTGATCATGCCTTCTTGGTTGACACCTGAATCAGATGAATATTTACTAGAAAGACAATGGAAGATGTGGCGTTGGTGGTCTGTTGGTTGTACATAGTGCCCATTAGAGGATCAGGTTCGGTCGGGGCGGTTTACTAGCCAGATTGAGGGCGCAATGCGGCTATCATGGCACAAGCCGATCCCGCCCGACTTGTCGCCTTAAAAAACCAAACAGTTTTGTTTTCAGGCCACGAGTGGGGCGATCGCCCCCGACCCGACCCGACCCGACCCGACCCGATCCCATCCGCAATGGGCACCCGTATTAGGCTGTCTTGCTTATAATCGAAAGCTCGTGGGCCCGAACCCCGACACAGCTCGATGCGTATCGATTGGAAAAGCCCTGTAGGGCCTACACTAATTTTCCTCACTTCACCCATGTGAGAATGTGTACCCGGCCTTAGATTACGACAAGCCTAGTCAGTTTGTGAGTGTTTTATCTCTTAATCGATTGCACGCGGTATGTGCTTTCCGACAAGTCGAAATGATGTATCGGAGTGTTTTAGATAGGGTTTGCAGAGGTGATTATACGTAATTATAAAGCGCAGAAAGCATGCTGTGGAGCTTAGATATGCGCTATGTACATTATTATATATAATAATTTGTATTATTCTCTTTATTAG